CTTTATTTGCAGAAACCCAGTCTGGGGGGGGAGGGGAGAAGGGAGGTGGAGGAGATTGTGCTGGCAGGTTTTTGGGTGATGAGCTGGCCTGTGGTCAGCCTGGTGGCTCCCAGCAGAGCTGCAGCTCAGGCAGTGGAGACAGGGTGGTCATGGTTACACCCTTCGGCCCCTCTCATCATTTGCAATCTATTTGCTTTTGCAAATGAGACCTAATGAAGTGCTCGCTGCTTTTCTTCAATGCAAATCAGAGGTGTTCAGGCAGGTCTGCTGAGACCTTGTGACTCGGACTTTGCATGGGTGAGATAGCTGAGAAAACTCAACTGCAGAAGTTCTCGAATGTGTTGGAGCCCAAAAAAAGTCACAGTTCCTTTTGTGAGGATCTAGGTCACACATACTTCTGCCTTGAGGTAGAGCACTGATTTCAAGTCATTCCTGTCCCTGCCTTTGTTTTTCCAAGCAAAAAGATGTGGGTTAACCTGTTCTTACAGTCTTTTATTCTCTTTTTTTCCCCCATGGCAAAATGGAGGGGTGAAGAACGGGAATGGGGGAGTGAAACTTTCACCTACACTGGCAAGAAGCAGGAAAGCATGTGATGCCTTGCACTTGAGATGAGGGGCTCTGCTCCCCTCCCAGATCACAACACAATGCTCAGTCTGTGCCTGTGACTCTCCCCATGCATCCCTATCCTTATCCCTGGCCTCCGGCTGCTCCGGGGCCTCAAAGTGAAAACTAATCCCAGGGGATAACTTTCCGCTCTGTTCCCGGGTGGGAGGGGAGGAAAGGGCTATTTATTCCTCACCCTTAAGCCCCAGCAGTGGATCAGCAACGCAGTTGTCGCTGCCGGTGCGGGGTGGGCAGCAGGATCTGTCACGGGCCCTGCCTGCTCCCACGCCCTGCCTGCACGCTCCCGGCCGGCCTCGCTGCTAAATAAGGACGAAAAGCTAAAAATAGAGCCGAGGCAGGGGTTTGGACAAACCAGGCAACCCTTCCCAGGGCTGGGAGCAACATGGGGACGCCAGCCAGCGATAGTGTGTGAGGGAGAGCGGAGCCGCCGATGGGGAAGTGTGTTCTGACCATGCTGCGGCAAGGGGGAGGTCTGAGACCTGCCACAATCATGTCCTGTGTGCTCAGTCAGCTTAGTCCCTTCCAGCTTTCCTCAGGGTAAAAAACATCTGTTCACCAAAATATGTGGGAAAACCCATGTTCCTGTGCCAGCTGGGATGGTGGGGTACCTGTGGGGCCATTCCAGCATGCTGGGTGGGAGCCTGGGGCAGCTCTATCTGGAAAATGATCTCCTGAAGAAGGGAGGAAGGGTGGAAGAGGGGGTGCTAAATCCAGCATTTTGGATAGATGGGTGGTAGGGGTGCAGCCGTACAGAGCCGTGTAGCTTAGACTATGTAGCTCGTTGGTGTAGCTTAAACTATGTAAAGCTCAGGAGTTTCTCAACAGATAGAGGGTGTTTTTATTCTATGAAGCAGAAGTTGTAAAAGGAACATAAAGCTAACAAAGTTGTCAAAACTGGCCTTATGGTTGGACGCTGTTCTAAAGGGCATGATGATGTGCCAAAAGCAAGAGTTCAAGAAAAGGAAAGCATGAGGAAGGCTACAGAACAACCACCAGAGGGTCACGAAAGACCACCCTAAAGGACCACCGACTCAAAACAGGAGGTGTGTCAAGGGGAGGAACAGTTTTGGGAAATGGGAGGGACAGATTTGGGAAATACATGAATTCTTCATCAGGTAGCTAAATAAAGGCATGAAGTTTTTGTAACTTGGCAAGCATGTTTTTGGAGGATCCCATCCCCTCGCGCCTCCGACGTGGTAAAGAAAGAATGCTGCTTTCTAATACTCACAAAGAGTCTTAGAGAGTTCCTTTATTCCCAGTTTTGTGGGTCACAGGGGTATTGCAGCAAACTGCCCAGCCAGGGGCTACTACATGCCAGGGTGCCCCCTCCCCCCCGCTGCTCACCTGGCATCGGTTCGAGAGTCTCAAATATTTGAAATATCTGAAATGTCTCTGCCACTCTGAGTGCCACATCCAGTCTTTCCTTAAACACTTCCAGGGACGGCTCTCCACCACCTGCCTGGGCAGCCCTTTCCAATGTCTGTGACAAAAGTCTTCCCAATGTCCAACCTAAGCTGCCCCTGGCGTAGGTTAAGACCACGCCCTCTCGTCCTCTCACTGGTTGCCTGGGAGAAGAGCCCGACCCCCACCCAGCTACACCCTCCTGTCAGGGAGTTGTAGAGAGCACCGGTGTGGGTGCTCGAGGGAGCTCGGGTTAGCTGTGACACAACTCGGGGATCCAGGGGGTCACTGGCAACCCTTGTGCATGGGCAGGTGCTGGGGGTGCTGGCAGCCCCCATGGGTGTCCAGGGGTCCCTAGGGGTGCTGGAGGCTGGCATGGGCTCTGGGGTTGCAGAAGCGAGCTGGCAGCACACGTGGGTGCTCAGGGGAGTTCGAGGTGCTGGTGGCCTGTATGTGTGTCCATGTGTGTGTGGGTATTTGGAACCTGAGTGGGTGCAGAGGGGTGATGGGAGCTTGCAGGGGTGCCCAGAAGTCCCTGGGGGTCCTGGCAGCCTGCAGAGGTGCTTCAGGGTGCTCAGAGCCCACACAAGTGTGTGGGTCTGCCTTGACCCCACATGGGTACCCAGGGGGGTGCAGTGATGCCGTGCAGGGTGTTGGCACACACTGGGGTTCCCCTCGGAGTGTGTGGGGATGCCATGTAGGGGGACACAGCCCCCTGCAGTGTGCACCAGGGTGTGGGGTGCTGTGTGGCAGTGGGGGAGGGCACGGGGATCCCCACAGTCTGTGGGGTGCAGGGAGTGGAGCAGCACAGCCTGGTTGGGGGGGTAGCTGAGCTGCAGGAACTGAGGGGGGGAGTTTGTGCCCAGCAGCCTCCATGTGGGGAGACGCTGGGCTGGGGGGACCAGGCCATGCTGTGAAACCTTGGAAAGGTGAGTCTGGGAGTGTCTTTGGAGCTGTGGGAGCATTGGGTGGCACAGGGACAAGAGGACTGATGCTGTGACTGGGAGGTGTCGTGCTGGCGTGGGCATGGTGGCTTCCCTGCAGGCAGGGGAGGGGGATCTGGCAGCGCCAGCTCTCCCCTGTGTCACGCTTGGGTGGACTACAAGCGACGCTTTGGAAATAAAAGGTTTAACAGGCATTATGGGAAGTGGCAGTGAGTTCTGCTGTGAAGCTCACTTTTCCAGAAGATTTCCCCGTGTACATGCAGCCACGGCTCAGCTGGAGAGAGCTGTCAGGGTCAGCAGCAAGTCACATCTTGTTTTTGCCTTCTGGCGGGGGGCTGTCACTGTAAGGGACAAATTGCTGTCACTATCCCCCCAGCTTTTGTAGGTGCTTCACTTATGACGATGAAATTACTCCTGTGTGTAGATGAGGAAAAACAATTCACATGAATGCAGCAGAGGAGTTGGTTTCAAAGTGGAAACCGAATGTGGCTGTTCCTGTCTTTGCTGTTTGCAATGACGAGGAAATGGTGTAGTAGGGTTTTGCCTTGGTTTGAAGTATTCATCGTGTGGATGAGACAAGTTTTGCAGCTTTTTTCCTGCTGGTTGCGGGGGAGCCGAGTGCTCGTTCCCCGCTGCTACGCAACCTCTAATCCAGACACAAAGCAGGCAAGTCACAATGAATGCATTTCCCTGGCTCTTCAAAGCAAAAAGCAGACGGGCCTGCTTGGGGGAAAAAAAAAATCCACAGGGAAGCGATCAGGCAGAGTGATGTCACCGTGTTGTGTTTATCTGGAAGACATCGCTGTTGGGTATGAAGTACAGGCCATCTCTGGGGGGACTGCCCATGCCTGACCCAGCCCTGCACCCCCTCTGCCTGCTGTCCTTGCCCACTGTCAGCCCTTGGTGTTTGGCAAAGCCTCCCAGGTCTCTCCCCTGGCCCTTGGGCCTGGCACCGATGACAAACAGCTTGTAATGCTTTCCTTGTGTAAACTCCTGCTGCCGCTCTTCCTGGTCCCTGCCTCGCCGGATCGCCCTGCCCGCAGCAGAGCCGGTTCAGGACATGATTACCTGTCCCAGCTTCGAGGGAGGAGGCTGGGCAGGAGTGATGCATGTACTGCCTGTGGCTGTGGAGTGCCTTCTTGCCTGCAGCTGGCCTCACTGTTGCTCCAGAGGCTGGTATTCCGTGGGACACACCACTGCTTCCAGCTGCCGGTGTTGCCTGGTGCTGCAGGAAATACAGCAGCTTTGGTGTGGCCTGGGTAACTGCTCCAGAGCAACTGGGATCTGGAGCATCCAGAGCTGAGGAAAAACCCTTGTTCCATGCTTCCCATCTGATCTCCAGGCTGGACCCTCCCAGCAGATGCAGCTCTTGGCTTGTTTCCCGTGTACCAGCCAGGTTTGCAGAGCGATGCTCTGGGGGATGCCTGGGGCTCTGGGGATGGAGAAGCACCCAAGTAGCCTGGGCTGAGCCTTCCCTGCACAGCCAGATCTGTGGGTCTGTGCCGGGGCTGTATCCGGCAGGCGCTCGCGTGACTTGGCGGGTGCACGAGGCACTCTGGCAGGAAATGAGCCAGTTTTTTGCAGTAATGACATTTCTCTGCTGCTTCCTCTTGGTCCCAGTTTCCCACCAGCACTGGGGAGAAAGGATAGGGAGCACCAGGTCTGCTGGGGAAGGGGTGATGCCTGGGGCATGACAGCCCAGAGGAGCTGTGGGGCAGAGACTGGCTCACCAGGCTGTGATGCAAGAGCCTGATAGATAATTCCTCTGCCTCTGGTGCTCCTTCCCAGTGGGTGTTTGGAGTGCTGGGTGTGGCACATGTGGGAACTGAATCAGCTGACTGTTTTCCAGGCGAAGGCAGGGGTGTGTGTCTTTGGTGAGGGCTTCTGCCCATGCTCCTGGCTTGCAGAACCCTGCTGGGGTTTGTGCTGGAGCAAGAGCTCTGGGCTGTGCAGGTGCCTCATCCTGGGAAGCCCCTTAGTCTCGTAGGCACCTCCTTGGCTGTGAAACCTTTAAGGTGGATGTTGTGCTGTCTCATAGTCTGTGCTCCTGCCTGATGGAGTCTAATCAATTTTCTTTTGATTCTTTTTAATAAAAAGTCTTGATTAAAAAAAAAAAGGAGGAAAGAAAGGGAAGTTAAGAAACTTTCCCTTCCCTGGCAAGAGCAAGCTGTTCCCTTGCAGCACACTGCGTGCGGATTAAAAGCAGTTGCACTTTTCTGGCCTTGTCTTCTTGACAGCCCCAGTCTCAAGTGCCAGGGCTGGGGACACTGTGCCAGCATGTCCCGTGGCTGTGGCACCACACTCACCACCCTTAGAGCAGGGGTATGCTTTGCCTGACATGAAATGGGGCACATCCAGGCCCTGCCCGCGGGATCTTGACCCCGTTCTGTCTGGGTGTGCCCAAGACGTGGGCACGAGCTTGCGGGAAGAGCCAGTGGGACTGTGCCATGCACGTTTGACCTTAGGACGTGCCAACTCCGTGATTGCTTGGGCGGGAGCCTGTGGCTGTATAAAAGCCCTGGAGGAGACCTTGCTCTGGCAGTGCGAGCTGGTCTCTCTGCACCATGGCTGACCCCAAGGAGCCCGAGAAGGGGGGTGTGGAGCTGGGCACCCCTAATGCTGCTCCCCCCACAGGGACCATGTCCACCCGGCGCCTCCGCAGCGAGGACTACAATGACTACAGCTCCACGGACGTCACGCCCGAGGGGAGCCCACCCGACGGCATGAACGGCTTCGCCCACCCCGAGTCCTACCAGCGCTTTGGGGAGACCAATGGCACAACGTGAGTGATGCTTCCCTCCCTCCCGGGCCGGCCCAGCACCTGGGGAGGGTGGAGGAGCTCCTGGTGGCTCCCTGCCGGCTTTGCTGGAGGATGGTGGAGCCGTGGTTTTATGGGGAGCTCTCCTGGGGGTGGTGAGGGCAGAGCTGTGGTCCTGCCTCTGTGGGGTGCTGGCATCAAGCGAGCAGCTGCCCTGGTGTTACTTTTTGCTCCCTAGTGAAGCTGGGCTCACTGGCAGCAGGCAGGGATTGCTGCTTTTCCTAATATTCCCTCACTCCAGCTTGGTTTGATAGGGAGCTGTGGCAAGCAAACTGCATGTCCAGCTTCAGAGAACATGCGGGTGGGCATGTTGCAGCCATGCTGTGGGGGCTTCCTTATGCCCAGGTGGGCAGAGGATGTTGTCTCTGCACAAGAGAGGCTGATCCCTTTAACTCAGAGAGATCCTTGTCCAGCCTTGGTGCTGAGCTGTGCTCGTGCTGGGTTTTGCCGTGAAGCTGGTTTTGCAAATGCCTGCCCAAAATCTGTTTGTTCAGTTTTTGCCTTCAGACCTTCCTTGGTCCCACCTGGCTGAGCTGGATGCAGGGGACAGGATCAAGACCTCCACATGCATTCCCTGAAGTAGATCAGATCTGCTGTGGACCCTCAACAGGATGAGCTGAGTGCTACAAATGTGTATGGTCTGGGTGCTGATGGTCACCTCTGCATCTTCTCCCCCTCAGGTGGTACCAGACCCTGATCCACCTTCTGAAGGGGAATGTCGGGACAGGGCTGCTGGGGCTGCCTCTGGCTGTGAAGAATGCTGGCATCCTGGTAAGGCAGCTCAGCCCTGCTGTGCTGGAGCTCAAGAGCCAGAGTGACCCTGGGGTGCTGGGCAGCTTGAATGGCCGCTGTCGGGACTTGACTCCCTGCCCAGCTGCCTCTCAGTATTTGGTGACTTTTGCACCCTGGGCTCTGTGGCTTTGCTGCTGAGACTGTTCTTGCTGTTCCTGCGTTGTGCTGCCTGGTGTGGAGGAGTTCATGTGTAAGTCGGGGCTGTGGTTTCCTGTGTGGGGTCAGGCAGGGTGCTGGGGCCAGATCGTGACCTTTTCTTCACCCTTATAATAGGGACATGTGAGATAGTTTGGAAAGCAGTCCTGGAAGTGCTTTGCTACACCCAAACTGCCCCAACTTGCTTCTTTTGCATCATTCCTGCCAAGCTCGTGGCTCTGTCAGGTTACTCAGTCCTGG